ATATCCGACCGAGTAATTTGATTGGACGAGAGGCATTCCATGAGTGCTGATATGGAGTATAACGTCACTGGGACTTGTAACTGTAAAATCACTCCGCTCACAGGTGTTAATTAACCAACTGTCACACTCGCTACATTGACGCAAACCGACACTAGCGTTATACCAAGAAGATGGATATTTTCCTCCAGATTACATTTGAATTAAATTGTGAGTGGTCGTCAGGAGAGGACGAGGAAAAGGAAAGCCAGGACTCTTCTGTACAAACCTCCAGGTGTGTTTGAATCCGTGCCAACATCCAGGTTTGCTAACGTTTCATCAGCCGAACTGGACAAAGTTACACAGCTGCAGATCAATGTAAATACAAAGTAGCTTGTGAGTTCCTGGCGTGTGTGCTGCGTTGCCGGGCAACAGACTGGGAGATTTTTTTTTTTTTTTTTCGCGGAGCTACATAACATACTTAAATAATTTATTTCATCACCTTTTGTTAACATTTCCTTACTCAGCATTGCTGTTTAAGCTGTTGTTGAACTGTTGTATAAAAGCAATATCACACTCGAGATCGTGAAGTTATACAGTACGTCACTCCCTCCTGCCCAGACGGGACGCTCTAATACTAAAGCGAGCGCACCCACAAGGAGGCAGGGATCATTTCATTGGTCAACAGTAAATCTGGCATTCTATTGGTTGGGGGATTTTGACAGGGTTGTTACACAAAAAAATCCAAGCGCAGGGCAGAAATCGGAGAGCAGAAATTCCGCGAGCGCACAGAAACAGTTTGAGCGCGAGGAGAAAAGCCGAAGCTCGAGCAGGAAATCTGTGCAAGCAACATGGTGTCTGAATGCGAGCACACAGTTTGAGCAGAAACAGATTAGATCCAAGGGCAAGCAGAGGCTATTTGAGTGCGAGGGCAGGGTTTTTGAGCGTGAAATCAATAAATAATGCTCTCAAACTGATATACCACTCTCTTGAGTAAAGATAGGGATAAAGCTCCATAGGTAGGCAGCTTTTAACAAAAGGCGAGTTTTAATGAAGCTGGTATATAAAGAACATCCAGAATCAGGAGGCAACTGGAAGCAGAGCAAAATCCAAACTAAAAACCAACCAGGAAAAGACACAATCAACCGAGAAGGATGCAGGATGAAAAAGAAAAAACATGATCAATAAATGAACACAATCATCACAGCAGGAAAACAGACGAACGAACAAAGGAAAACACAGGTATATATACACAGAAGACTAATCACCAGGACGAGACACAGCTGGAGAAGGAAGACAAAGGCAAAAGGAATGAACCAGGGATTGGCTGACAACAAGGGTGGAGCAGACAAGACTGATACAAAACAGGTGTGAAGGGAAGACTCAGGGAACAGGCAAGGGTTAACTAGACAGGTGTGGCAGAAAACAGGCGGGAAAACACACAAAGACAGGAAGTAAAACCAGACATGACACATGAGGAGAGAGTCTACAAAATAAAACAGGAAGCAGATTAAACATGAATGAATAAATTACAGAAAACTCCAAAACAAAGTCCACAAGATAACAGAATATGAACAACAACCCAGGATCATGACACCATTTTTACACTACTTCAGTTACAGTTGCTTCAAGTAACATTTTAAATGCAGGAATCTGACTTATAACAGAGTATTTTTACAGGCTGGTATTAGTTACTTTTACAAGAGTAAATTATTTAAATACTTCCTCTCGTGCTCCAAGCCCTCTGGTCAGGGTGAAAGTCTCCACTCACATAACATACCGTAGCTGCTGCTGTCAGAGAGCAGGTGCATGCAACAGGAACAGGAGGCCAATTTCTGGAAGTCGGAGTCAAGTCTCAAGTCATGCCAAGTCAAAGTCAAGTCGAGTCTTTCGTCCTTGTTAATCAAGCAAGTCTCAAGTTCTCAAATTTGCGACTCGAGTTGGACTCTTATCAAGTCATGTGACTCCAGTTCCACACCTCTGAAATACACTATCCACTGAATACAGCATGATGTTTTCATTACCTTGTTAATTATCATTTTACTAAAATTACTATCTTTCTCTAACCTTACCAAAGTGCTCCTGTTGCCTATGTCATTAGCTAAAAGAAACATAATCCAGACAGCAATTATGTTGCCACACCAACATAATTAAGAAAGCAATGTACAAATGTAATTTCTAGGAGATGGGGTTATTTTAAAGCAGTGATCTACAGTAAAATACATTTTGTAACCTCACTACAAACAGCTTTTTTCTCTCCATGTTACTGGAGGGAATGTGTCAGAATAATGAAGGTAAAAACCACAAAACAGAACTTTGTGCAGCTTGATCAAGATGAAGAAAAAATAACAAGACTACAAGCTCAGCTACAAAGTACAAACTGGAAACACGCTTTTATTTTTCTCTTCTGAACTAATAACATTTTAAGTCTAATATAGCTTCACTGTTACATGATACATGACTCAGGAACCACAGCTGCTGCCAGATGCATATATGCACATTTCTCTGAAAAACAAATGTTACGGAGTAGGTGCTGGTCTTCTCAGAAATGTTGTCAAAGTAAAACATGCACCCAGAGAAACACTAATGAAACTATTATTAAAAACAGTTTAAATCATCTCAGACAGAGAACAGTGCACATTACGTTCTCCATCGTTCACGTAGGCCTACCGCAGCTCTCTCTACATATTGTGGACCAGTCTTCAACACCGATCTGTCAATAAGCAGGAGTTGACTAAAATTAGGTGCACGTTATGGAGGTGACATGATCTGAGGAGATCATGGACACGTACATGGATTTTATTTTATCAAGTCTCACTTAAAAAAGACCAAATGTTACAGTTGGGCTGCACAGTATGGGGACAATATTCAATAGGGAAATAGGGAAAACTATTCCCCAAATTATCTTATTCTACAAATTAAACACATGACTGAAAAGAAAAGGCAACAATAAAAAAAGAATAGTCGTTATATTTTAAAGTGCAGTTCTGCTGATACTTATTCAGCTAAAATGTCTGAGTGCAACATCACAGTCATTCGTAAAGTGTTTACTGCACAAGTTCACATTGCGATGGCATTAAGGGTGCTTTCTAGTCTCGCTCACCAGACCTTTCTCAAGAAAAGAAAGGTCTGGCTGGACCGACTCTCACTTTAAGATTGGAGAAAAAAACGCCCTGGCTGCTTGTATTTCTTTCAACCAATCACAATCGTTCTTGGTGGTGCCACAGCAACGGTGCGTTTGCAAAAATATTGCCGGGGGGAAACAGGTTTTGGTGTAACACGCCCACAAAAATATCGCCTACAGGACGCGAACCATGGCAGAAAAATGGCTACATCCCTGTAAGATCAAACATTGCAAAAGTTAGTAAAGGTCGAGTTGAAAACTGCAACTGGAGGTGGTAGGGCGGGACTTCAGCGGGTGGCTCGTTCTGCCCAATGAGAGGCTGATCTTTGCAGCAAACTTCCACCCACTCAGACTAGGTGCTGTCACACCTCCCCTGTTTGGTTCGGTTCAATCATACTCAAGTTTGTTTGCCCCCAAAGTGCAGTTTAATTGGGCAGGTGTGAACACAGCGATCTCACTCAGGTGTGCACCAAAACAACCTGACTGAGACCTTCTTGAAGAGGTGGTCTCAGTCTGGTTTCAAATGAACTCTGGTGCTGTTGGTTTGTTGTGAGAAGGTGTTCTGACCTGGATGTGAAGCAACTGCAGTCACATGACACATT